AAAAAAAAAAAGAAAGAAAGAAAGAAAAAAGAAATAGCACAGATGGGGGTGGTGGTGCCTAGGTGGCTCAGTTGGTTAAGCATCTGCCTTCGGCTCAGGTCATGATCCCAGGGTCCTGGGATCGAGCCCCCCAAAGGCTCCCTGCTCAGCGGGGAGTCTGCTTCTCCTTCTCCCCCTGCCGCTACCCCCCCATGTTATCTCTCTCTCTCAAATAAATAAAATCTTTTTTAAAAAAAGAAATAGTGCCCACTGCAATTCTATACGCAACTAATAAATCATTGAACACTGCATCAAAAGCTAATGATGTACTATATGTTGGCCAATTGAACACAATAATAATAATAAAAGAAATAGCACTTAAAAAAAAGAAATAGCACAAGTGGAATTTACATTTTGCATATGGAGCTGGACTAGGTGCGTGGTTTTCAAAACTGTTTTAGCTGAGGAAACCTTCCTTCATGCAAAGTGAAACCTACTGAGTAGTTAAAACAAATAAGAGTGGTGATAATCTAACTAAAAAAGGGTCCTGAAAAGATGCCTAGGAGCCCGGAGTGCTGTATTAGTTTATCTCTAAGGTCCCTTTCAAATTTGCCTCTCTATTGTTCTGCCTCTAACAATGTCAACAGCTGATGAAGATCAATGAATGAAAAGAAATAGAACACTTTTAATGAAAAGAAGCATGTATTTGCCCTGGGGTCAAAGAACATAAGACATGTTCTGCAGTAGAGTAGATCCTCCAAAGACGGCTGCCATCAATTCCTCCCTCCACTTCCTGTGTGCATTTGTTGTCCCCCAATGAGATGGGGAGTTAATTTCCCCTTCCTTGGCATCTAGGCTGGCCCCATGACTTTGGCCAGGAGAATGTGGCAGAAGTAACGTTCTGGGACTTCCAAGCCCAGGTCTTACAGGAACCAGCAGTTTCTGCTTCCTTCCCTTTGCAACTTCCCTTACTGGAAACCAGCTGCCATGCTCTGAGGAAGCCCAAGAATCCATGAGGATGGGCCCATGAGGGAAACTGAGGGGCCCAGCTGAGCTCCCAGCCAGACGCCAGCACCAACTACTAGCTACGTAAGCGAGGCCATTTTGGACCTGGCAGCCATCCTAGTGACCCAGAAAAATCATTCGGTCAACCTACAGAATCATGAGCAAGCACAAAGCATTGTTCATAAGCCACTATGTTTCAGGGTGGTTTGACACCCATCGAAAGTGCTCAGCATGCCTGGGAGCATTACCTATACATCTGAAATCATCTGGTTTCTCAGGGGTCCAAACAGCAGGTGAAAAGAACCCAGGCAGGCAGGAGCAATTGTATTTTCCCAAGATGTTGATACAGATGGAGCTGAGGCCACAAAGAGCTGAGTTCTTGTCACATTCGTCCACATCTAGGCAGAAAACCAGTCTAAGTCAAAAGGATGAAGGATGGCGAAGCTGTGGCAATCCACAATCCCACCCAGACCAGAGCCAGTGAGTCTTCTGGGCTCTGCTTGCACCCTCCTAAAGTCTGCTGAAAGGAAGCACAAAGAGACAGGTCTGTGACCCACACAAATCTCCTGATGAGGCTCTCTGCAGCTTGGTAAAATCCAAACTCCTCATTAAAACACATGACACCCCCAAGAGTCTGGTCCCACCTAAGCTCACCCAGCTTATCTTTCTTTTCTAATCCTTTAGTAATTCCTGATCCAGATTCATTGATTACCTGGAGATTCATGAAGGCTTATTCTCTTCTCCCTGAGCCTTGAACTCACTTGCCTCACTCTTTCTTTGATAAATCTCAATTCCTTTCCAAGGAATCACTACGTTATCAATAATAATAATTGAGAAGTGTCTGAGTGGAGGGGTGGAGGGCACAGACAGCCTAGGCTCAAAGCATGGCTCTGTCCTTATAGTCTGTGTGTTACTGGGTGCTGTGGACTGAATTATGCCCCCCCCCCGCCGAATTCGTATCTTAAAGCCTTAACACTCAGTGGTGTTTGGACATGGAGCCTTTGCAAGATGATGAGGTTAAGAGGAGATCTTAAGATGGAATTAATGCCCTTAAAAGAAGAGGAAAAGACACCAGAGCTCACTCTCCATGAGGACGCAGAATGAAGGCGGTCGTCCAGAAGCCAGGAAGAGAGCCCTCTCTGACCATGATCTCAGACTTCCAGCCTCCAGAATATAGAGAAAGTAAATCTCAGTTGTTGAAACTGCCCTGTCTGTGGTGTTTTGTTCTGGCGGCCCCGAGCTGACTAATGCATGGGCAAGATAATTCACCTCTGTGTGTCTCAGCACCATCATCTGTCAGATGGGGATAATGATAGTACTCACCCCCTAGGGTTGTTTGGAGCATTAAATAAGGTGATATCTGTGAAGGACTCAGAAAAGAGCCTGGAGAACAGCAAGTATGAGGTAAGTATTTGTTAACTAACAAATTAACTGTGACATGTTGAGCTTTCTTGTGACAGGTGCTGAGGAAGGTCCTACATGCACCTGTTCAAGGAATGCTTCACAGTAGCCCCTGTGAGGTGCACACTAACATTATTTCCACTTTTCAGATAAGGAAACTGAGGCTTCATAATTGTGCAGAGTCACACAGCCTGTGAAAGGCACAGCCAGGATTTAAAATCAGGCTCTATCTGCTTCTGGACTTGTTAGAGGACAAATTCCCAGGCTGTCTTGAGTCAGAGTCTGGGAATTTGGGTATTAAGTTGATGCTGGCCCTAGGCAAGCCCCCAACCTGCGTTTCCAGATGTCGCAACCTCATTTGAAGGCAGAATAGCATGATGGTAGAACACAGGGTGTGAAGTCACACTCGGCACATTTCGGATCCTGACTTCCCTACTTCCTATCTATTTGACTGTTGTTCCAACACAATGGAGGCTCATTTTTCTCATCTGTAAAATGGGTATAAAATACACTGATACCAACAGGTTGTTGGGAAGACAATGAGCACATGAATGGAAAAGCATAACACCTTGGCTGGGATCCTGCCTCCAGGCTTCTGTACCTGCTGTTTCCTCCTCCTAGAACACCCTTCCCCAGATACCCAATATTCACTCCCTCACATCCTTCACATCTTTTCTCAAATATCAATTTCTCAGCATGGTCTTTTCTTACTACTCTATTAAAAGTAGAACCCCATCCCCAGCTCTCCTTATCCACCTTTCCTGCCTTATTTATCTTTATCGCCTTCAACTATTCTTGGCACACAGTATGTTCATGCATTTATGTTGCTATCTATCTCCCCCGGCACTGGATGATGAGTTCCAGGAGAACAAATAGTTTTGCCTCTGTTATTCACTGCTGTATCCACCATCCCTAGAATAGTGCCTGACATAGTAGGTGCTCAGGAAGTATTTGTTGAATGAGTGCATGAATGAATGAATGAATGAGTGAGTGATTATTGGCTTCAGCTTAGCAGGTGAGGACTTTGAGCTCAGCCCAGACTCATCCTGACCCCTCCCCTACCACTGTGGTCTTTGCCAACAGACTTGGATCTTGTTCCCCAACAAACCCCTCCCACCTACCTTCACATGTTTCTCCTGGGCCCTGGATGTTCACGTTTCCACTGCTAGATTCAAATCCTAGGTTGCAGACACAAGAGTAGCTTCCAGGACTGTTGTGGCAAGTTGCATGCTCTGGGCAAATTCTGGGATCAGCACATTCATCCACATCTGTTCAGTGGAAATGAAAACCCAAGTCAAAGTGAATGAAGAAATGAGAACAGGAGACTGCAAACAGAGATTTGCTGTGCATGTTCTCCCCTTCCTTCTCATCTCCCTTGCAGTTAGGCATGGCCATGAGAATAAATTCTGTCCCAACATATATAACCGGAGAGTGGTAAATAGCTCCAAAAAGTAATGACCATAGACATGGCTGTCCTTCTTTACTCTTCCCCGTACCTACACTATGGGCTGCAGATGGTGTGGTGCAATATGACTTTTTGCCACTACTCTTTTAAGATGTGGAGCTTGTTTCCCCACATCTTGAATCTAGCTGGCCTATGATGTTCACTTGCCAATAGAATGCAGCAGAAATGACATGGTGCCAGTTCCATACTTAGACCTCTAGAGAGTTATTTGCTTCTGTTCATTCTTTGGGCTCCTTGCTTCTTCCATATGAACAAGCACTAGACTAGCCTAACAAAGAATGGGAGACAAAGTAGAAGAGAGATGGATCATCCCAGATGACCCCCCCTGACATGTGAGGCAGCCCAGCCAAGATGAGCAAAGCTGACCCACAGCTGACCCCAGACACATAAAAAGCCCAATAGAGACCCAAAGAACTGACCCGGCAGAGCCCAACCTAAATTTTGAATGCACAGAATAGAAAGCCAAATAGATGGTGTTTGTTTCTAGCTACTGACTTTCAGGGTGATTTGTTACTCAGCAATAGCTAGCTGCTATAGATGGATCAGAAAAATCAGAGAGGACTTCAAATATCTCTCATTCCAAGCCAAGGGGATGTGATAAGGTCTTGATCACTCCATGCCTTACTTGATGGGGTCTCCCTCCCCACAAATAAGCATGGTAGCACTGCACCAGACTCAGGAAGATGGAGCCCTTGCATCTTGTGAGAATATTCTGGCTACAGTTTGGAGGATGGATTCAAGGGGACAAAACTGGAGGAAAGGAAAGCCCAGTGAGGAGTCTGCTAAAATAACAGTGAAACCCGGACCAAGGATGGGGAAGAATGGAGAGATTTAAGACATATTTAGCAGGTAAATTCCCCAAGATATGATGTCTGTTTTAATATGGAGGTGTGGTGGGGGGTCGAGGGTAACTCTCAGGTCTTGAGTCAAATACAGTTTAGTAAAAGTTCTGAAGTTTGAGTCTGAGCTCTCCCAGGACAGAGTTTCTCTACCTCAGAACTACAGGAATCTGGGACCGGATTATTTTTGGTTGTAGGGAAGTTGTTCCATGCTTTGCAGGGTGTTTAGCAGCATCTCTGGCCTCTCCCCCCACTGGATCACAGTAGCGCCCACAACCCTCCTTCCCCACCACCAGTTGTGACAATCAAAAATGTCTCCAGACATTGCCAATATTCCCTGGAAGGATATCACTCTAGGGAGAGAGCCCTTCATCACTCTCAAGTACTGCCTGACCCACTGCTTGACTCATAGTAGGCCCTCAGCAGGAATTCAAATCCTGCCTCTTCTACTGAACAGCTTTGTATCCTTGGGGAAGTTGCTTCAATGCTCTGAGCCTTAATTTTCTCATCCCCAAAGTGAAGATCATAATCCCTACCTCACAGGATCATTAAGTAAGGTGGTTCTTAATTAATTAAGTAGGTAAATAAAGAAAAACAGGTCCTCTATACCTTCACAGATGGAGTTGTGAGAGATGAATCCAACCCGGCAGCTGCAACTGTAGCTTCCCAAGGAGTTGATACACTCAGCATGCTCTGGGCAGACACCACTGGAGAGGCATTCATTGATGTCTGAGGAGCAGTGGAGGAGAGTGAGCAGACCAAAGATTGTGTGTCTAAGGTGAGGGACACATGTACCCAACTTAAGTGGTCACTGTTCACCAAAGACCCATGCCTGAGAGCATTACCTGTGCAGGAGAAACGACCCGGATTTCCCATGACCCAGTCATTTCCGGTGGGAGAAAAGAAACCAGGGAAACAGCTGCACTTGTATCTCCCCAGAAGGTTTCTGCAGACTGAGTTAGGACCACATGGTGGGGAGCTTTGAGAACATTCATCTATATCTGGACACAGAAAGAGTTGGAGTTACAAACTTGCCTCATCATGTGTAGCAGGTTGTATTTTCAAAGATGGCAGAAATGATGTCTTCTATGCTGTATGCCCTTCATTCTATGGGAATTTGTATTCCTTCCAGCAAGGAGTGGGGTCTATATTCCCTCCCCTTGAACCTGAGCATGCTGTGAGTGTGACACCAAGTCCTAAAGATACCATGCACTCCCTCCTTGTTCTCTTGGAACTCAGCCACCATACTGTGAGGAACCAGCCATGAAAAAAGCAGCTCATATGGAGAAGAACCAAGACCTCCAGCCCACAGCCCTGGTGGAGCAGCCAGCCTAAGGCCAGCACCAGCTCACCAGCCATGTGAATGTGCTCTCTTTAAAGTGGATCCTCTAGCCCCCACTTGACCCAACTCAGTTGACACCACATGGAACAGAGACAAGCCACACTCACCAAACTCAACCCAACTGACAGATAGGGAGACATGTTGTGAGGTGTTGGGGAATCATGACAGATTCATGAACAAAAAAATGATTGCCATTATTTTGATGTACTAAGTTTGCAGGTGCTCTGCTACCCAGCAGTAGATAAAAAAGAACAATTTGCAAACCCACAAAGAGCAATTTACTAATTGGAGGACCCATAAAATTGTGCAGCCGTGGTACCATGGGGTGGTCCAACCCAAGTCTCCTTCAGCCCTGGTCTGCCAAGTCATCCTAAACTCTTGCTACATATTTGTCGTGCAAATACAGCTTCAAGGCAAGTCTTTTATAGCTCCTCCCAGAAAACTGTGCCTCTCCTAGACAGAAATTGGGAGCTGCCCCTCTACATCAAGATCAGACCATAGGAATGTTCATTCCACTTTTATTTGAAGTAGTAAAACATTAGAAACAACCAACTAAGGCTGATTAAATCTGTAGTTGACATAAAGAATAAGGTAACGCGTTGCTTCATTCAACAAGTATCTACTGAATATTCACAAGATATCAGACACCATAGGGAGGTCAAAGTCATAAAGGGGATGAAATCCTTGCTGTAGTATCCCATAATTTTCTAGATGCGGAATGTTGATTTCAACCCAAATTTGGAAACCGGAGCCCATCAGGACTACTGAAGCTTACCAAATAACCCATGAACTGTAACCCAAAGGTAAAGAAGGATTTGGGAGCACCCTGGGTACTACAACAATAGAAATGAATTATCTTATTCAGAGCCTAGCAAACTACCACTCATGGGTCAAATCCAGTCCACCACTTGTTTGTATAAATAAGGTTTTGTTGGAACAAAGCCACATCATTCCTTCGTGTATCATCTATGGCTGCTTTTGCACTAAAACTGGAGTATTAAGTAGTCATGAGAGAGATCATACAGTTTGCAACCTCCAAAATATTTACTCTCTGGCTCCTTGCATAAAATAGTTTGCCGACCCCTGCTCTTATTCAGAGGCACAGTCAGATCTTCACTGTCAAGGGGAGAATTGGCATTTAAATATAAGAAATACAGACAAAGAACTTTGCTCATTCTGGGGATTATTTCAATTTATATTACTTACATCACTTCTACTGTGCCTAGCACACTGCATACACATGACTGCATTTAATTTTCCCAACTATCCTTTGAGGTAGGTACTCTTATACACTCATTCTACAGATGGAAACATTGAGGCTTAGAGAGGGTAAATACGTTTCCCTAACACCTCACAACTAGGCGACGTGATTCAGAAACTGCTGTTAGAGTCGGAAAGATGTGGGTTTGGAGGCCAGTTCAACCGCAAGACCGTGAGGAGTCATTCCAGTGCCCCAAGCAGTTTCCTCATCTGTACGGTGGGGATCATCATGATGCCTGCACTCAGTTTAATGTAAAAATGCATAGAAAGCCCTTCACAGGGGACCTGGTACTCAGTGAATGTTAGAAATTCTTGTTTTCTGCATGGAGAGACAACCAAAAGGAGACTTCCCAAAATGAAATCAGTGGTTATTTTTGGATATTGACAAATAGCATGGTTTTTACTTTTATTTTTATTCTAATGTTAGCTCTGAATCGTTGGAATGTTGAGTGCGCAGGAATCATTGTCATTATAGAAAAAGAAAGAAAAAAATGATGTACTATATGTTGGCTAACTGAATTTAAATTAAAAAAAATTTTTTAAGAAAAGAAGGATAAGGGAGGGTTAGGGGGAGAAAAATGTTCAGGAAAAGAAAAAGTACCTACATCCACTACCCAGCCAGCTTCCACCTGATTTTCCTACAATATGCTGGAGGGTTTTGAGGGGGTGTGTACTTACCTTCGCATGTCACTCCTTGGCCCCTGAACTGCGTCAGTCCGTTGCTGGACAGAAAGCCTCGTTTGCAAGTGCAGTAGTAACTATCCAAAGTGTTGGTGCAGGTTGCGTAAGCTGGGCACATGGTGGTATCCAGACACTCATTCACATCTGGGCAGCACAGAGGGAAGAGGTCAAGTTAGAGCCCCAGGGTGGGCTTCAAAGGGAGCCAGCATGAGAATATGAAGGGGACTGCTGTGGGCTGAACTGTGCCTCCCAAAAAATATGCTGAAGCCCTAAACCCTGGTCCCTGAGAATGCAAACTTATTTGGAAATAGAGTCTTTGTAAATGTAATTAAGACCTCAGTGAAGGGGATGCCTGGGTGCCTGTCAGTTTAGCGTCTGCCTTCAGCTTGGGTCGTGATCCCAGGGTCCTAGGATGGAGTCCCGTATCCTGCTCCCTGCTGGGTGGGAAGTCTGCTTCTCACTCTCTCTCTGCCCCTCCCCCCTGCTCGTGCTTTCTCTCTCTCTCTTTCTCTCTCATGCTCGCTCTCTCTCTCTCTCAAATAAATAAATAAAAATTAAAAAAAAAAGACCTCAGTGAGGATGAGATCCTACTGGAGTGGGATGGTCTCTTAATCTGATATGATTGACGTCCCTATAAGAAGAGAAGAAGAGTGGGCGCCTGGGTGGCTCAGTTGGTTAAGCGACTGCCTTCGGCTCAGGTCATGATCCTGGAGTCCCTGGATCGAGTCCCGCATCGGGCTCCCTGCTCGGCAGGGAGTCTGCTTCTCTCTCTGACCCTCCCCCCTCTCATGTGCTTGCTCTCTCTCATTCTCTCTCTCTCAAATAAATAAATAAAATCTTAAAAAAAAAAAGAAGAGAAGAAGAGGCACAGAGACAGGCTCAGGGAGAATACAATGTGGGCGACAGAGGCAGAGACTGGAGTGATGTGCCTACAAACCAAGGAACATCAAGGACTGCCAGCCACACCAGAACAAACTCTCGCTTAGAGCCTTCAGAGAAAGCATGGCCCTGCAGACACCTTGATTTCAGATTTCTGGCCCCCAGAACAGTGAGAGAATAGATTTCTGTTCTTTTAAGCCTCCTGGTTTGTGGCAACTGGTTATAACAGCCCTGAGAAACTGTTCAGTGCTGTCAAGTGGGAGCATCAGCACTACCTGGGAGCTTGATGGAAAGGCAACATCTCAGGCCCCACCCCAGAACTGATAAATCAGAATCTGCATTTTAGCAAGACCATTGTGTGACCTGTGTGCACAGGAAAGTGTTAGATGTACTGACGTGGACACTTGTTAATGCAGGTGTGGTCCTCAGACCAACAGCATCTGCCTCACCTGGGTCCCAGATCTGGGAAAAGCAGATGCCGATTCTGCAGGTCTAGGAAGGGGCCTGACATTCTGCATTTCTCACAAGCCCCTGAATGATGCTGATGCTGCTGGTCCATGGCCCGCGCCATGAGCATCAGAACTCTAGACACAAGAATCTGAGACTCAACATTTCAGCCTTTGGAGCACAGAAGACCTGGGTTAAAGCTCCAGCAGCAAACCTCCAAGGAGAGAACAACAGCTATTCCCCCAGACCCATCTCTCCTGCTTCTTTTTAGTAACATGACCATCCAGTTAAAGACTGCATTCCCAGGGTCTCCTGCAGCTAGGCGTGGCCACGAGGCTAAGATCTGCCAGTGGGCACATGTAGAAGTGATATGCATACTGTTTGGCCATGCCCTTAAAAAGAATAAACACATTGCCTCCTTCCCATTTCCCTTTCTCCCTGGGCTGGAACATGGACAGAGTGGGCTGATCTATTCCTCACCATGGGGATGATGGTTTGGGAAAGCCACCATGCTGAGGGATAGAGAGGCAACAAGATGGGAGACACCTGGGAGCTGGGCTGATCTGGGCAGCCCTGTCACCCTGTTCCACCTATAAGTTGGAGATGTATGAGAAGAAAAAGAATGAACTTCTAAAAAATAAATTTCTAAGTTGTTGTTTCGTTTATGTGGAAACAGTCAAAACAACATCCTAGCCCGTTCAGCTCTGAGACCAGTGATTTCACCTCTTTGTACCTCAGTTTACCTGTTTAGCCCTCACCCTCACGTCCAGTGGGTCCCCAAGCCCTTGTGGTTCTCTGTCCAAATAGCATTTGGCATCTACCCGCTTTTCTCCATTTCCACAGATCCTCTTCTGGATTCTACATCCCTAAATTCTTCATTGTCCCCTCCAATCTCTTCTCCACATAGTAGTCATCTCTGAATACAAATTTGATCATCTACCTCCACCCCTGCCTACAGTGCTCCCTGTTGCACTCAGAATTAAAATCCAAACCACTTAACAGGACCCATAAGACCCCCGTGACCAGACCCAACCACGTCTTTAAGCCTCATCTCGTGTTCGTCTCCATTTCCAGACTTCCCACCTCAGGGCCTTTGCATGTGCTATTCCCTTTGCCTCTGCTTTGCCTGGCCAGCTCCTTTTCACTCCTCAGGTCTTGCTTAAGTGTCATTTCCTCCAGAAAGCCTCCCCTGACTCCCCCAAGGCTTCCTGTGCTCCTCCTCTATGACACTTATAGTAATTATAGTTGCTTGTTATTTGTGTGATTAGCTTTTTAGTGATCATTTCCCCCACCACATTGTGAGCTCCAGAAAGACAAAGCCAGAGGTGGAGGCAGGCTTCTAGGTGCCTGGGAAGAGACTTATTTGATATTATCATTCCTGTGGTCATCAGAATAATGGCCCCTCCAAAGATGACCACATCCTAATCCCCAGAACCTACAAATATATTATGCTATGTGGTAAGGGAGCACTAAGGTTTCGGATGGAAATAAGATTGGTAATCAGCTGATCCCAAGATGAAGAGATTATTCTGGAGATTATTCTGGATTACCCAGATGGGGCCAATGTAATCACAAAGGTCCTTATAAACAGAAGATGAAGCCAGGAGAGGCAAAGTGACACAATGTGAGAAAGACCTGGCCAGTCATTGCCGGCTTTGAAGATGGAGGAGGAGGGACACAGGCAAGGAATCCAGGTGGCCTATAGAAGCTGGAAAAGGCAAAAAGACAGATTATCCTCTAGAACCTCCAGAAAGGAACACAGCCCTGCTGACATCTTGATTTTAGCCCAGTGGGACCCACTTTGGACTTCTGACCTCCAGACCCATAAGGTAATGTTTTTGTTGTTTGAAGCTACCAAGTTTGTGGTAATTTGCTAGAGCAGCCGTAGGATACTAATACAATTCCCATTACACAGATGTGGACAACTGAGGCTCAGTGAGGTTAAGTAACTTGTCCAAGGACACACAGCTGTTGAGTGGCAGCTCCAAGCCTGTCGAAACCTGAAGTGAGGGATTTTCACTACTGCTACCCAAGAAGAGGTAGCTCTGGTTGGAAATGGAATCAATTTTCAGGCAATTTCTAAGACAATTCTTTGTAAAAGCTTTTGTGATTAAGTCTGTTGCCCTGATGGACTTTGAGTTTCTAGAAAGCAAAGATTTGTGTTTGTGTCATTCACTGCTGTGTGCTGAGTGCATACAACAGTGCCCAGTACACAGTCGGTGCTCAATAATGAAGACCTTGTTGAGAAGCTAACATTAGAACAAAGACCAGAGGGAGGTGAGTGAGCTATGAAGGTACCTAGGGCAGAGGAAACAGTAAGTGCATGAAGGGGCAGGACCACGCCTGGAGATTTGGTGAAGTTACTAGCAGGTCGGTGTGGTTGGAACAGGGTGGGCAGGGGGAAATTGGAGGTCTGGACATGGACAGATCATGTTAGATCTGCTAGACTTCTGGCTTTCTATGGAGAGCATTGGGAGCCACGAGGTGTCTGAGCACAGCCAGGACACAGCAGGACTGAGGTTTTAACAGGGTCCTGTGGCCCCTGGCTGGAAGATGAACTGTAGAGGGGCAGGATGACCAGGGAGGAGTTGCCTGCACCTGTCCAGGTAAGCGAGGATGGTGGATGCAACCCCACTGGGAGCTGTGGAAGGCACAAGATTCGGGGTTTATTCTGAAGGTGGTGTTAACAGGATTTGCCAATGGATTGGGTGTGGGGTGTAAAAGAAAGAGGAGTAAACGGTAATGCCAACATTGATTGGTAGAGTGGGAAAGCACTTTATAAAGTGCTGCAAAAACTTTAAGGGATGGATTATTCTCTGGGTCTTTAGAGTCAGGTTCTTCACTTCTTACAATATGCCTTGTTTATTTCCTTTCCCTGAAGGACATCTTAGTTGTACCTCTTCTCATTAACAGTTTCCTCTTTCATCTGCAAAGGCAACATTGTTCTTTGCAAACTTCCAGCACATTGCCACTTGTGGTCTCTCATCTGAGCTTCCCATTACCCTCTTCCTCTGGCTCAATTGCTCATAACTCAAACTCACCCCAAACCAGAATTGCAACCCAGCCCTGTGTGACTCAGCACCTGCCAACCTCTCCAGCTCATCTTCTACTTTGTCCCATTAGCCATGCTCACCTTTGCTCAGTTCCCCAAATTCTTTCTGATCTCAGGACCTTTGCATGTCACCCCAAAGATCTTAGGACTTGACTTCTTCTTTGCCAATTTGAATACCTTTTATTTCTTTTTGTTGTCTGATTGCTGTTGCTAGGACTTCTAGTACTACGTTGAACAACAGTGGTGAGAGTGGGCATCCTTGTCGTGTTACTGATCTTAAGGAAAATGCTCTCAGCTTTTCCCCATTGAGAATGATATTCGCTGTGGGCTTTTCACAGATGGTTTTTATGAAATTGAGGAATGTTCCCTCTATCCCTACACTCTGATGAGTTTTAATCAGGAAAGGATGCTGTATTTTGTCAAATGTTTTTCTGCATCAATTGAGAGGACCATATGGTTCTTCTCTCTCCTCTTATTAATGTGCTCTATCACATTAATTGATTTTTGAATGTTGAACCACCCTTGCATCCCAGGGATAAATCCCACCTGGTCATGATGGATAACCTTTTTAATGTACTGTTGGATCCTATTAGCTAGGATCTTGTTGAGAATTTTCACATCCATATTCATCAGGGATATTGGTCTGAAATTCTCCTTTTTGATGGGGTCTTTGCTTGATTTGGGGATCAAGGTAATTCTGGCCTCATAGAATGAGTCTGAGAGTTTTCCTTCGGTTTCTATTTTTTTGAAACAGCTTCAGAAGAATAGGTATTATTTCTTCTTTGAATGTTTGGTAGAATTCCCCAGGGAATCCATCAGGTCCTGGACTCTTGTTTTTTGGGAGGTTTTTGATCACTGCTTCAATCTCGTTACTGGTTATTGTTCTATTCAGGTTGTCAATTTCTTCCTGTTTCAGTCTTGGTAGTTACAGGTTTCCAGGAAGGCATCCATTTCTTCCAGGATGCTTAATTTATTGGCATATAGTTGTTGATAATAATTTCTAATAATTGTTTGTATTTCCTTGGTGTTAGTCATGATCTCTCCCTTTTCATTCATGATTTTATTAATTTGGGTCCTTTCTCTTTTCTTTTGGATGAGTCTGGCCAGTGGTTTATCGATCTTATTAATTCTTTCAAAGAACGAGCTTCTAGCCTCTTTGATCTGCTCTACTGTATTTCTGGTTTCTAATTCATTAATCTCTGCCCTAATCTTTATTATTTCTCTTCTTCTGCATGGCTTAGGCTTTATTTGTTGTTCTTTCTCC